ATTATGCGTTACCGAAGATATCTGTTCGCCAACTGACTCTTCAATCTTTATGATCGCCGTAGCTCGCTATGGAATCCTTGGCCCTAGTTAAGTTTGATCTCCAAGCGGACTGACCCTGTCCTCGGCTGCTTGATCGCACGACTGATCTACCTGCTCGTGAATTGGCTCCCTTTATAACCTCCAGCTTTTCTGTCCTTTATACATACATAGCTTGCCCTTATGTGGAGCTCCACCTCCGACATCCGAACATCACCACCTACTAGTTCCGCAGTTACGAGTTCCAAAAGGACGTTGTGCGTCATCTTTACATCTCAGACCCTCCTTTCTTCGCTCGACCTAGACGACTGGCACCGACTCACCTGGAGGCCGCGAAGGCGGAATTTAAACGCATGTTTCAACTGGGTATCATTTGACCGAGCCCCTGGGCGTCTTCTCACCCCATGGCGTCCAAGGCGACATCATGAGACTGGAGACCCTGTGATGGCTATCGTGCCCTAAAAAAACGTCACCATTCACAAAAAAGCATCCAGTATCTCATCTTCAGGATTCCGTAAAACGATTTTCTGAAAGATCGACTTTATGCACACCTTCCACTAAATATCTGTCGCCACAGGAGATATCCCCAGAACTGCCGTCAATACTCTATCTGGCACCTTTGAATTCATCCGCATGCTCTACAGCCTTCGCAATGCCGCCCAGACATTCCTGAGGTTCATGAACCATGTTTTATAGGACTATAGCTCACAATTCGTTGCCGACAACCGCCACACTGATGGTTACGCAGAATGAGGTGGCTGGCGCGCCGTTCAGGCCCTACCTTCCCTCAGTCCAGCTCTCACATGGGATCGACCTTGCCGCCATGGCGGGTGAGCAAGGGCGAGCCGGTTGTCCTGACGATGAGTCTTTTAATGGTCTCCAGCTTGAAGACGCTGCCTTACCCAGCGGTACTAGCACAGCCATTTGGGGCGTCTCGACGCCTTCCCAGTATCCCTCCGTGCCTGCTCCGATGTGTCGAGCTGTACTTCAATCTCTTCATGGACTTGCCCACCTTGGGATACAAACCTCACAAAAGCTCCTGGCCTGGTATTAATAAGGATGACAGGACTGTGAGCACGGTCGTGTCTGGCCTGCCAGAGGGACAAGGCATAGTGTTACAATAGGTCCCCGCCAGGCACCTTCCTCGGCCCCGACGCAGGGTTCAGCAATGTTCCGCTAGATGTCACGACCTCCTTGCCCCCCATCCAACGCTTACGTCCACCTCTTTACCTGTGTCGATTAGTACACCCGCTGAGCTGAATCAACCCCTCTGTCGAAGGTAGAGGCGGATACCACTGTCAAAGCTTTCGTCAGTTGTTAGGTCGTCATTTTCGGTTCGCTATCGACGGTTATGACTGATCGAGGTGTCCAGCTTGAGTTTGTCCTCTTCCAAGCTCTCCACATCTTCTCCAGCAGCCAACATGATCGAGCGTTTCCATCGCCAGTTAAAGACCGCGCTGGACGCATGAGAGAACACGGAAAACTGGTCTGACAACTTGCCATCCTTGCACATCTTGGCATTCGCGCGACACTGAAGTCGGATCTGGACTGCAGCGCGCCAAAGAGGTTTTCGTTTCGAAAAGATTAATGAAGTAGGGTTGTAAAACTAATCATTATGCAGCATAATTCTATAATCATTCAGTTAAACCGAGATGCCGGCTTCCGAACGAACTTCTTTTCGGTCGCATGCGAAAACTATACTCCGTCAAAAAGGACTACTTAAGTAGCATGCATTTTTCTCATTGATCTTCGATGCCCTTAAACATTCAATTATAGTCTATGAAAAACATGCACAAAAATATCCATCCTTTCAATTATTTGGTTGACAATTACGTCTTCTTCCAATCTTATACTCGAAAGAAGGGTATCATTCGGTTCCCAAAAACCTTTCCTATTCCCGAATAGTTTTGAACCCGCTCTACCGTTACACTTGCATTCAGGGTTTCCAAACTACAAGCCGTATATTTTCCGCGTACGGAAAACACTCATTGCTCTACAGTAATAAAGGGGGACCATATAGGGTTCATAAAATTAAGCAGTGGATTTGATCCATATTGTTAACTTTTCAAGCCACATTGGTAAATGCAGGGACATGACGATTTATGAACGACCCTTTTGCGGTATTTAAAAGTCCCACAATAAGAAACTTTTTTAAAATAGCTCTATGCGTTTCCTTCGAGTAAAAGATTGGAAGAAGACGTATTTTTTACTGAATGATCAAGGGGATGAATATTTTTATGCATGTTTTCCATGAAATATAATTGGAATTTTAGGGGCAATGAAAATCACCGGTAACAATTCATGATACGTAAGTAGTCATTTTTTACAGAGTGTAGTTTTTGCATGCAGCCGGAAGGAAGTTCGTTCGAAAGCCGGTATCCAGGGGTAACTGAAGTATTATAGAATTATGTTGCAGGTTGACTAAGTTTACAACTCTACTTTACTAATCTTTTGGAACCGAAAACGCATTTCGGAATTTCCGTTGACATTTTATGAGTTAGCCCACCTACTGTATATGTATGAAAGGAGGAAGCTGGTTGGAAAAAATAGATTTATTCGTAAATTTTCATGCTTACAGCAACCCGTCGTCAGACGAAATAAATGGTGATAGGTGGAATTGTGACATTGGTATTTGAGGGAACAGACAGAGGTTTGAGCAGACTATCTTGCAAGAGGGTTGCATCGTGTTGTGATGAGTGCCGGAGGTGAGGAGAGATGTGGGGGGATTCTTAGTCGTTGCTCCTCGTGTTGGGAGCTGGGGAGGAGGAAATGGCGTGTCGGCGAGATTCTACCCGTCCTGACATGCATCAACAGTTGCCGTTTTTAAGGTGGGTCCCAGTCAGTGCACCGTGATTGGGGACCGTCCTAGTGGACACGTATGTAGGTAATCGCGGCAGTTGATGCTGTCCGTTTTAAAGTCTCAAGCTTCGAGGAATTCCAGTGCCTTTTAGTGCTAGCCACGATGACAAGTTCAGTACCGTCCCAATTAAGAGCGTGCGGAAACACGAGAGATAGGGAGTTACGTTGGCGGATAACCAGCTTGTGTTCTTTAATGCAAATCCCAAGTCGTCGACTGACATAAACCCAACGGCAGTTGGCGCACGAAATATGATAAATGACGTTATTTTGTTGTTCTCTGAGTGTAGGGTCCTCTACCCGGGGCAGTGCTGCACATAGACGCCGGATGGCGCGCGATGCAGATACCAAACTGGTTTGACTGTCGGGCACTAGCCTCAGAAATTTCCCGCCTGCATACATTTATCCGCTATCGGGGAATGACATTCATCAGTCGGGCTGCGAGACATGCTCGTTCTGTAAGGAATTGGGTTCGCAAGCGTCTGCTGTTACAGGATCAGCGTGGTATGCGCTGGCAGTTCCCTGACACCTGGTTCCCAGCCGGTTGATGCGCTTGCGCTTCGGCTGAGTTTACAGATGGTGGGCATGGCTGTCCAGTTGTCCTTGTCCTTCTGACCCCTGTTAGGGTGTAGTTGTTGTTGTTGGTCAAAAACCTAGTCATTTGCAGTGTGGACCAGGGGGTGTGGAGTGGAACGCCAAGGTGCGGGCTCGACCGTGCCAATCACCTGCGTCCCCCGCCCCTGGTCCTCCTGGCTCTGTCTTGACACCGGGTTCAGGTGGGGGGAGGAGAGAGTGCGATAGATGCTGTGCAAGTTCACCATTGATATAAACTAATGCACGCGCAAATCACAGCCTCTGTTCTTACCTTGATGTGGAGCACACGGTGGACATCGTGGCAATAACGGTCGAGCTGTCGTAGGGAACTGGGGTTAGAAAAGACGTCCTGGCAAGCAGTTTCACAGCGACTATTAGAATGTAGAGAGAAGTAGTAACGACAGGGACAAGAGGAACTGGGATGGCCACCTATGGCCTATTGGCCGCAATCAGCCAACCATATTCAACACCAGGTCCGGCTAAATTGGGGTTTCGATCCAAATTTTTTGCTCATCGGGAGTCTTTAAGTCAGGTGCTCTACCATCGAGCTATTTGTCCCCTTTTACATAAATAACCTGAAAATCTATTCGATTGCGATGAACTCCATTAGCAGTTAATGCATGAGAAGTTTTCGCGAGAATTAAAACAGCTAGGACAAGTTAGACAGTAGTTCTAGAATGCTGATAGAAGCGTACTTATCAAAATGAATGCAATACACATGCGAGCTGACGTCTGAGAGCAGCTGGTTGGGCAGTTTGCACATTTCTGCACTGACTGACTTTGCTGAAAAAACATAATCACCTTGCAGTCCGATAAAAATAGGGTGTAGGACGATGCGTAGGCTGAAATCCCCTCATAAACTTGTGCTGTTACCCCCCGGAGAAACTGTGGATACCCCTAAGGAAAAGAAGAATGATTGGCCCACCATCGCGCGAAAAAGTAAATGTTTTTGACCCAGACGTGAGAAGATGGGTTTTATGCTATTCTGAGTGCTGGAACAGTCTTGTTGTGGCAAGGCAGTGAAAATGTGTACTCGGAGCGTCGCAACCATTAGCTCAAGTCCTGACTTGTATAGAGAAGACAGAAGGCCCCAGAATGAGGGGTTTATTGTATACGGAACGTGCGGATAACCACCGACCCCGGTATCCATGTCGGCGAGCCAAATCAGCCAAGAGTCAAAACGGATGACGAAATCCGCTAGTCAGCCTCTCGGCGGCGTGCGATGAGCGTGGGACCCGGCAATCGTGATCGGCATACAGGCGCATAACAACTATGATGCACTCGGGAGTTGCCAGCTGCGATAGGAATGTAGCGGCCTAGCAACTATATCCTATAAGTATTGCAACACCTGGGTAATCCACTAGCCTTATCTGACTGTCTCCGATGACGGATTCGAGTGGGAATCCGAAACGTCAGGCTAATAAAGCACTTGTTCCAGCGATCGTGCCTCCTTCTCCGTGACTACTTCCTGGAACTCGCCCCTTCCCTTGTATACGAAACCCGCGGTTGTCCTCTCAGGCGGCAGTGGTCGCTGGCGAAGCCAGGGCTGGCGTTGACTGCATCCAGTCATGCCTGAAAGTTCGCGAGACGGTGGTGGTGGTGGTGGTGGTGGTGGTGGTGGTGGTGGTGGTGGTGGTGGTGGTGGTGGTGGTGGTGGTGGCGGCGGCGGCGGCGGCGGCGGCGGCGGCGGCGGCGGCGGCGGCGGCGGCGGCTTTTGTAGGCTTTTGGGGCGTCATCTGGCGTGTTGCATTCGCTGAGGAGCAGTGTTTATGTGGCTTACAGTAGGTGAGCTAAATCATGAAATGTCAACTGAAATTCCAAAATGTGTTTTCGTTTTGAAAAGATTAATTAACTTAGGGTTGTAAAACAGATAATCGTGCAGCATATTCCTATAATAATTTGATTAGCTCAAAATGCCGGCTATCGAAATAATGTCTTTCCGGCTGCGTGCAAAATTGCACTCGGTAAAAAATAGCTGCTTACGTAGCATGCATTTTTCTCATTGATTTTCGATGCCCTTAAAAATTCAATTATATTTCATAGAAAGCATGCGTAAAAATATTCATTCTTCTGCTTATTCGGTAGGAAATTACGTCTTCTTTCAACTTTATACTCGAGCGAACCGTCTAATTCGGTTTTTAAACCCGAACCAGAATAATTTTGAACCCGATCTACCGTTACACTTGCATTCAGGGTTTGCAAACTGCGATCGCCTATTTTCTGCGTACGGAAAACCATACATTTCTCAACGGTATTAAGAGGAGACCTTATGGGGTTCATAAAATCCTGCAGTGGATTTGAGCCATATTGCTACCTTTACAAGCCACATTCGTAAATGCGGAAAGATGGCGTTTTATGAACGGCCATTTCACGGCATTAAAAAATCTCACAATTAGAAACTTTTTAAAACCGAATTATATACCCTTCCTTCGAGTATAAACTTGGAAGAAGACGCATGATACCTGACGAGGGAACTAATTTGCTCTGATAAGCCAATAAGATTGTTATGCGATAACGTGAATGCGACCATGACTTAGCTGAGGCAAAATACATCCTCCTGGTTAAGGGTCTGCCGTGTGATCGTTCATTTTTATCATACTGCCGCGTGCTTATGAGGACAAGAGGTCTCAAGTCCCAACTACGCCACTGTACCAGCGTCTGTGCATTTATAATCAGAGCCAATGTCGCTCCCTATTCAGACTGGATAGGAAAAATATGGCCGAATTTAGGCTATCTGCTTGTAAATGCGTGCTACTTGTATGGCTGGCTCTCGACTTTTCGACAGATGAACGCCAAATGGTCGAAGACAGCACAAAAAAACTGCGTAAGAGCAAGGAGACTATACTGATTCGTGGCGCATGTATATTCTGGCCTTGCACGAACAGTTTGCAGGGGCAGAATGACCAGAACTGAGTGGTACATAAATAAAGACTTGCAGGGAACTCCACCGGCGGTTGCTGTGATCTTCTATAGCACCCATCTGCCAACCGCTGGGAAACACACCATGAATCCACTTCAGAATGCGAATTCGGGTTTTTGCAGAAACTTTGCAAAGTAAAATCAACCTTGTGAATGACTGAAAGCAAATGACTCAGGACGAAGATCTGCGAAGTGGGAGAGGTGTATTAACTGCAGCCTTTAAATGACAGGGATCCGACGAGCGAATTCTACTACTCTGCACTAGCACGAGAACTGACAAAGTGGGCAAGTCGGTGACATCGTGGTAGTGTCTACAGTCCATAGAAGAGATGAAACTGGTGGTACAATGGTGATCTGCGCGAGAATGGGGCCATGGTGAGGACGCATTTAACACTGTCTGCCTCATTCTCACTTACCAAGACCTTCGTGTCCCACTGCCAATAAAAAGTCAAGACGACTGGAGGTAAGCCTAGGTGAAATGGCCGACGAGACTGCAGCCACGTCTACGCGGCCACACGCGCGCTTGTCACTGCACGTACATGGGCCATGTTCTAAAGGGAAGGACTTCGGATCCCAGACGCGCTGGGGTAACATACCGGGTGCATTAAGAAGAGTTTATTGCAGTTTGGTCGTCAGTCCCACCAGTGGTCAGCTTTCCAATCCGCAACTTTTACCATGTCGAATTTATTACCGCAAGCAGATGCGCGCTGCACTGGCCTCATTCGTCGTTCCTTCGCTCTTGCCAGTAGCAAGAGTGATTCAGGCTGATTGGGCATAGTTGTAATTGGTGCGGTGAAGTCTCCGTTTGACGTGTTACACTCTTGTGGTGGTCCCTAGACCCACATGAAAAAAACATGCTTGCCTAGGTGAGGGTTGCCACGAATGCGCCAATAAGGCCTCGTACCAGCAGATAATAGCCCATTAACGCCATCTTCAGCAAGGTAAACCCATACCCAAACCTGTGGTCGGAGTCACGCAGGCGCATCTACCAACACGGTGCAGGTTAGGTCTAACCGACCCGAGTAGTCCTACTGCCTTGCCATATGTCAATCCCTGCTGTTCAGGTATATTGAGTCCGTGCTCGTGATTTTGACCGTCGCGGACGACAGCGTTCACCGTGTGTCCCGCGGAGTCAACGCAGTGCCGGTGACGTGAGTTGGTTTATTGTGGACAGACTTGCACAGCATCTACCGCACTCCCTCCACTCTCACCCACCAAGCTCCAGTGGCAAGAATGAGTCAGAACGATTGCACTTTTGCTCGAGAACAGTGACTGACAGAACTGAACGGGCAATCTGCGCATGCAACGTACGATGCGCCGGATTCTAACAGATTAGGAGGGGGAAGGGGGGCTCGTACCTAACGTTCGTAGGAGTGGCATGTAGATCATATTTAGGAGTCACTAAGCTTAACTCCCAGTCGTCGAACCAGTCACTCGCCATTCACATACATAATGCTGGCCACGACGACCGAGATATTGGAGCGGCACAGCAGTAAGAATAAGTGCTCTGAGAGCTAAAACCACCAGGTCGAATCCCATGTTGGAAGGAGAAGATGGAAGGCACCAGAATGGGGGTTTAATGTACACAGAACCCGGAGTTGTCCTCTCAGGCAGCAGTGGCCACTGGCGACGACAGAACTGGTGTTGACCGCGTCCAGTCATGCCTGAGAGTCCTTGAGGTAGTGGTGGCAGCCGCCTTTGTAGGCTCGTGGGTCAGGCTCATTTGGTGTCCAGTCAGTGAGATGGCGTCCCAGTGGCTTAGGCTGCGGTTGCAGGGGATGGCGCGCTCAAGTGGCGCATGGGTAGCCGGGACGCTGGATGGACGCAAATGTGCCAGAGCTGTCGGTCGGTGACTACAGGTCAGCGCATCTGGGACGGCTCACTGCAGAGGGGTGAATGACCTTGAGGCATCGAGATCTTAAACAATGACGCCAGACCGGTCATGATGGCTGGCCGCCACAATATCCAGTCATATGACGACCAACTACCGATGCACAACGACCAAGCAAACAGTAATAACAGATAAAGACCGAGAAAAGGCTCAGGCAGCAACTGTTTCGCGTTGTCTAAGCAACGCAAATGTGCATTCCCGATCGCAAGTGTTGGTAAGGGGTGTAAATAGCCAGAGAAGGCATGGGTTAAGATGGAGACAAATACCGCCTTGTCCCTCTGCCAGTCTACTTGGTCGCCTAGTGATCCGGCGGCTAGACGCTAGTGATATCTTCCACCAGAGGACAAAAACATCTGGCTCCGAGACGTCAGACGAATCGGTGCGCATCCACTCCGCTATAATTCGGACTTGGCTTAGGTAGGCGCTCAAGTCCGCACTTTCCCGCTGTTGCGTCCTAAAAAATAACATCCCTAAAATGAGCAAACGACCTACGTATAGGAACTTTTTTGAAGACAGAGATGCTTACAAAAAGTCCTCCGACCCATTCTGACCCAACAACTTTGGAGCTCGGAATTCCGAGCGTCCTGCTTTGGAATGGAGCATCCCTGCATCGGAGAATGGAACCGAGTCAGCTAATGGTCAAGGAATTTCTGTGATCATAGCTGGCTACCCCTAGATCAGTATCAGTCCTTCTCTATTGCAAGTCTTCGCAGCTTTCAAGACTCAGCCTGACATTCAGGATCCCATGATAGTTTTTCTTATTCGTGGAAATTATGCTCATGGTTCTGAGGGTATATGATTTGCACTGGAATGACGGCTAACCACTAGACGAACTACACCTTACTGCTACAGCCGGACCACGATGCAGCACATCGGCTGAGAGAGGTGGCCGAATAAGTTTGTTGATCTACCGGACCGCAGTCCTGACCAAGAGAAAGCGCTCCTCGCGGGCAGCTTGATAGAGGAAATTCCAACTACGCCGACCCAGTTATTAGCAAGAGGGGATGGAAACAGGGCATTCCCAAGCCTTCGAAGGTGTCTACGAGCCCCGCCTCCTCCGCGGTTGCCCACGGGGAAACGGTCAATGCTTGCTTTTGTGTCAAAATGATATGTCAAGACGTCTAGGGAGGGCGGCAGGAATATCTTGGTCCTAATTCGTTCACCAGTTTTGTTCGTACTATCTCACCCGCGTGCTTGTCGATGTTTTGGCTGGCTAACGTTCCAACCAGGTCTGAAGTCCACTGCCGGAGCATTCGTTATACGATCTTGCGCTTTTCGAGCCCCTTATCGTTCACACTTTGTCGTTTGTTCGTCTCCCCTCTGGTTGATGCGATAGAGGCGACAGCGACTTATTTGCGCGTCCAGCCAGTGTGTGGGATGGTTAGGACCGCCGACCGGCCGTCCGTACGCCTGACCTCAGGGCTGCCTTTGAAAGCCCACCGCAGCCGCCCTACCATGTCATAGTAGAGGCAAGCGAGTCAACTGACCACACTAGCACTCGAGGACCCATCCCCCAGCGTGGGCCGCCCGGTCCGTGAAATGAACCCAGCCCCCGAACGTTGGTTTGCGGTCGCGAGCCGGATGAAGACTGTATAGCTTCCCACACATACACCATGGCGAGAAACAAGACGCCGGAGATATTGGCAATTTACGAAAACGGGACCCACCCTCTCAATAAGCCATGTGACCATCGGAAGTCTTGGGATAGACAACACTCAGCTGCGCCAAAACTATACCTCCTCCGATGTGTAACACCACGGCAGCTGCATGGCTTTACAGTAACTCGAAAATAGCGACTCTGAGGACAGTTGGCAGCCCCTAAAGAACCAAAACGATAGAGTTAAGCACCGCACAGCCAGAAGTTGCTACCAAGCCTCCACTACTTGACGCGCATTGCGACTGTTGCCACAAACGCGCTACAGCGGC